ACAATATTCCTAAAATTTATTTTAATATAATTTAGTATGCATTTCATTTATTTTCTATACTAAATTATAAAGTTTTATTAAAATTGTACCTTTTATTAAAAATATAGTAATAACAAATATAATTATATTCTTATTCATATTACATAATAATATGTTTCATGACATATTAATAATAAATAGTCATATTTATTAATACATTGTAGTTATAATTTTATCTACCTTTTCAATTAGCGAGTTATGTTCCTCCGCCCTACCCTACCCGAATCCCTACCTACTCATGTATTCCAATATACCTATGGTCCTACCTATCCATTTTTCTATCTACCCGCGTTTCAACTTAATAAATCTACAAGTCTTTCGTTAAAACCGCGACGCAATTTATAAAAGGTTCGAATTGGGACTATAATGCGCGCGTGATTAGGATTTAATCTTATCATTCTCGCACATAGACGAGAATATATAAAGAAGAATAACCCACCCGAATGACAAGAAATCAAATTATTTCGTTTATCGCCTTATTTACATACTCCAGCAGATTGGCCAATATTGACCACTTCCCTCGTCGTATTCAGTCTTCTTTCGTTGGGCCAGAGTGGACATACCTTTTGTTGCTCCTGGCCATACAGTCTGGTCATTTTGACCAGATATCAGAAAGGAAGAAAACTCCTTCCATAGTCGGTTTGTTATCGTAACCGACAGATGTTACGTACGATTTGAATAATATGCGAGCGTCGATCGTATATCGAAAAATGCACGACTACGAGAAGCTAATTAAAAAAGAATTTTAAGTCGAAAAAATCTACTGCATAAAACTAATTAAATATATTTCTGCTTCCGTTATTTACTCGCGAGTATTCACCGTCTCTTCGTGACTCGATCTTTGAGTTCAAAATTCAAGTTTATACGCAGAAAACGTTTTACTTCGCGTAATATTAATTTTAACTGTATTCCGCGATAAATTAACATTTCTAATATGGATGAAATCACAAAAGTACTAATATCATGGAAATGTCTCTAAAAACCGATCGCGAAACGCGAACGCGAAAACCGATCGCGGATGCATGAGGATGCGTATGATTGTACATGTTGTTCATGCAAGACGCATCTTGAAGGTGTATCGCGAAATAAATATACAGAATAAATGATGTGAGATCCAGAGTTGAAAAACCTTTGTGCACCATAGATACTGATATTGTAATTAGATATTATAGGTAATTAATAACCATTAATACTGTATAATAATAAATTGAAATGTTTTAGCGTTTTTGAAAAAATATTTAGAATCTCACATCATTTTCTTTTACTTTACACATCAATATGTTGATAGAAAATGGATAGTTCACAAGTGATTAGTTCGACAAATACGTCAATAAATAATTCGCTTTATTCGCGTAATTTCTGCGACGTGGTTCAACGATTCTGAACATGAAAAATGAGCTCAATACGCTCTGATTTCTAGAGATCCATGAAATCAAACGAATGTGAAAGAAAATTCAAGAGCTCGATTAAATATATTAAAAAGAATATAAAATTATGTTGCGATCTACCCATTTTCAGGTAACGAATCTACAGAATATATCAACTTACGATCTATTTTGTTCTACGATTTACGAGCTGTAAATTCGTTACCTTAGTAAAAAAAACTTGTAACTCACCGATGCGATGCGCAGCAGCGGAGTTAGCTACGTTGATTAATCACTGAAACATACAAATATAGAATTTATATTAAAGTAATGTCTAAGAAAATTAATTTTGCAAAATATAAAAGAATCACTTCTTATGCGAACAGATTTTCCGCAAAAGATCTTAACGAGAATAAAATTTGGGGAAATTTTTACTTACATTTTATTCTTTAATTGTTATATCGAAATTGTGGAATTATAAAACAAACGACACACTAAACCAGAAAAAAGTTTCATTATACAGGGTGAGTTTTTTAACTTGAGACTGGAAATTATCTGGGAAAATAAGCATTATACGATAAAATGTTCCACCAAATAAACCCTCAATATTTTCGAGGGGACAATTCCATCCCGCAAAAGTTAGCCACCTACCGCCCTCTCTGGAGGTGGGGCGAGGGGTAACTTTGAAAGCTTAAATAAAAACCCCTATTGTTTATTATAATATTTTATTCTACTAATTAATATGAACAACTTTTGTCTGAAATATTTTTTTATTTGCCTAATACTTTTTGAAATATTTAAGAGAAAATTGATAACTTTTTTGATATTTAGCTCATGATATCATGATACCTGTTTGTCGGAGGGAAAAGTAGTACAGGATTTTTTTACTTGATTTGGTCTCAGGAATATGCTGTTGCAATAGTGCTCTAATTATTGAAAATTTTTGTGTATGTAAATTTTGTGGATGTTACAATACACGAAAATTTTACATAATTGGAACACTATTGCAGCAGTATATTCCCGAGACCAAATCAAGTAAAAAAAGTCCTGTACTACTTTTCCCTCCGACAAACAGTTATCAAGATATCATAAGCTAAATATTGAAAAAGTGTTATCACTTTTCTCTTGAATATTTCAAAAAATATTAGGCAAATAAAAAAGTTTCAGACAAAAGTCGTTCATATTAATTAGTAGAATAAAATAGCATAATAAACAATAGGAATTTCCATTTAAGATTTCAAAGTTACCCCCCGCCCCATCTCCAGGAGGGGGGGGGGGCGGTAGGAAGCTAACTTTTGCGAAATAGAATTGCCCCCTCGAAAATATTGGTTTATTTGAAACATTTTTTCGTGCAATGCTTGTTTCCAGATAATTTGCAGTCTCAAGTTAAAAAACTCACCCGGTACATATATGTTTAAATCACGTAATATCTAATTATATCTCATGAGATTCAATTCCAAAATCATCAGATCCTCAGAGATTTAACACTTTCCTTGAATGTTCGACGTTATCTATTGAGATCTAGTGTGTGTGAAGCTGGTATCTCATTTCGTGGAAAATCACTAATTGTTGAGAGTTCTGACTTCCTTTCTAATAGTTCTAGAGTTTCTGATCGTAATATTATTTGGATCCACCTGGACCGTTTCTGTACATTATTTACGCGAATCTTTTTCATGAAACAATAATTCACGAATGTTCGTGCGAGTCGTTCGAAAGGTCGAGTCGAATAGACAGAAAGGCGCAAGGAGGTAACCACTAGCTAAATTGTTGTCCCACCGATTACACGATTTCATTTAATTTCATACGATTTAATCTGATTACAAATAATCTCATCTAATTGCAAATAATTTTCTTATATGCACGTTTAAAAATATGTAACGTTGTTAAATCTCAAAGAGCTGTTTGATTTCCTCAAAATGTATTGTTCTTATTTTACTAAGAAATATTTGCTTGTAAAGGTAATTACAGTTAAGATTCTAGTACACTTTTTCCACTAGTCCAACCGTGGTCTTAACGAAAAGTAATTTTGTATTTGTATTCACTGTTTATTGTTCCAAATTATCGCGCAAAAGTGTATCAACTCGCTGTTGTTCTACACTATTAGAAATTTCTTAACGACTTTTAATTATCATGTAAAGGAAGCTTGGTTCAAGCCCGTAAATGAAAAATAATGAATGCTGTGTATGAATATTTATTTACTGATGTCTTAATTTTCATTAACTTATGTAAATATTACTTTTAATGCATACATTCTTTAAAAGTAATATGTACACAAGTTAATGAAAATTAAGACATCGGTAAATAAATATTCTTATACAGCATTCATTGCTTTTCATTTACGGACTTGAACCAAGGTTCCTTTACGTGACAATTAAAAGTCATTAAGAAATTTCTAACAGTGTAATAGAAACTACTTCAGTCTTATTTCGAAAAGAATGCGCGCTTATATAGGCGTGAACTACGATATATATTTGGATATTCACTAAAAGAAATAATTTTTTTTTGAAAATAAAAGCAACCTGAGAAAACGTTCAAATTTTATGTTCATTGTCTAACAAGTGAAGAAACTTGAAAATGAAGACAGAACGATTACACGGGGATTTCGTAAGAATTTCATCATGATTTCGGAGACACTGTCCAACGATTACATCAAGTGGTTAGAATGAAGACAATCCCCCAGTGAGAAATGATTCATCAATTGATGTCGAAACGGTGTCGGATCGACGTCAACTTGACGGTTTCGATGACGATTCAATATCGTTTCGACATCGATCGACGTGTCATTTCTCGCCGGGCCGCGGAATCAAGTTAACGCAAGAACAATGCATAAATAATTGTACTCACCAGAGGGTTGCTCCGCCGTTGCCCGATGCCTGCCAGGCCGCCGCTTCCTCTCAGATTCCTCGTGGATTTCGCACTGGCAATCGGCACAACGCGGCACTCACTCACGACCCTCGCGACACGGCACTCCCGACGTTAACCGACGCCAGCTCCGTTACAACGAGAAAAAGAGCTGCGATCCCGCGCGGGAAGACGAGCCGGCGTGGATGGCGTCGCGCGAAACGTCGAGAACGTTCCGGCGAGGACTCGGAGACACGCGAGGCGTCTTGACGCGAACTCGACGCGTCTCGCAACCGAACGGGGCGATCTCGCGCGAATACTCCTCTCGCCGCGCGTCACGCGCGGAAGTCTCGGGGTATTTCTACACGTACGAGGAGACGCGAGCCAAAACTCAAGCCCGGACACCCGTGGCGTCGCGAGAATCCGGCTGCGAGGGAGATTCCGGCCGGGGTGTCTCGCGGGATCTACGCGTCTCGGCGGATCGCCGACGCCTGTGTATCAAGTAATCTAACACCGCGATCGCTCAGCTTGATCGACGTCACTCACCACCGTCGCGTAAAGCGGGATGCCGGTCCGCTGCGCGTCCGCGGCGCCTCGCGATGCTTCTCGAACAGACCAACATGGCGCCGGTAACCGACGGCGCCACTGCGCGAACTACGCGAGTCGAGCCGGCGACGCGACGCGAGTATCCACTGTGTCTCACGTAAACGCACGTAAATTCACGTTCTTTTCAACGACGAGCAATCGACGAGCTCGCGGCGTACATACGTGCGTGCGTGCCGGCGGCGCGAACGTTAGTGCGGCGCGCAGGAATGTTCTGTGACCTCGGCGCGCAGCGGTCGCGGCGGCTCGAGACAAACAAGTGACGATCGGCTGCGGCGCGGCGGCTCGGGGTAAACAAGCGACGATCGGCTGCGGCGCGGCGGCTCGAGGCAAAAAAAAGTGACGATCGCTGCGGCGCGGCGGCTCGGGGCGAGCGAGCGGCGAGCCGCGCCGGAGTCGGACGTGCGTCGCATTGTCATTCGAACTGGTACGCGATCGCGTCACCGACGTCTTCGTTTCGCGGAGCGCGCACTTGCGGAGATACGGCAGGCGAACCGTCGAATCGCCGTGTACCGTTCGCGCTCGCTGTTTTCCCGACGTCACCTGAATGCAGGAAAGCCGCAGGTTTGTCGGGCGTTTGTCAGCAGCCGTGCGTTAACTTGAGATACTTACGTTGCGCGTCGCCGACTCGACTCGCGTAGTATCGCGCAGCAGCGCCGCCGGGCGCCGGCGTCATGTCGGTCCGTTCGAGAAGCATCGCGGAGCGTCGCGGACACGTCTCTCCGGCGTCGACGGTCGTCGCGACGCCTCTCACGACGGCGCCGGTGAGTCTAAGGGTCGGAGCGCGAAGCAGCGTAATAGCTTACGGCAAAGACGCAAGCGTGAACGTAGTTAGCGCGCAAGCTTCGGCCTCCAATTACATACGACGTTACTTTGACGCCGAAGCTTGCGCGCCGTCCACGTTAACGCTTGCGTCTTTGCCGTAAGCTGTTACGTTGCTTCGCGCTCGGTCCCTCAACGCGGATCAAGTTCAGCAATCGCGGCCTGGGAGGCACCGGACGACGGCAGAGAAATCCGCCGGTGAGTACAATCATTTATGCATTATTCTTGCGTCAATTGCTTTATTCCGGATTGTATTTGTTCGCCTCGATCGTTCGAACGATTCGCACTGATAAAATGTTGTCTACGGAGCAGAGCAACGCTTTTTTTTCTGCCGGATTCTTTTGTTTTGAGCGAAAACGCGTTGAATGGGCCTGATTTCATTCATTCGATTTCGGAGGTGACGGAGCTAAACTTTATAATTACCGCGTTAGGTTTGTCTTCTGTTCCTGCACGCTGGTGAACTAATGCAGTAGGCTAGAATGAGAACGAATATACTCACTCTAATTTATTGCACTAGTCGACCAGTGTAGCAACAGGAAACAAGCCTTTTATAAAACTGGGGCTCGATTCTTGAATTTATTCGAAGGAGAAACGTATGCGAAAAATCTGCTCTTACAGAAAAGTTGCAAGTTGATTGGCTACTCGCATGGCTTTAACCAATAGACTTTCAACTTTTCTGTCAGAGCAGTTTTCGTATACGTTTCTTCGTCGAATAAATTCAAGAATCGGGCCCCTGGCATGTTAACCGAATTGACGAAAAATGGAGGACCAGTCGCAGCGCGCTTCCTTATGGCCAGACTCCGATCGGAGGGTCTTTACTTGGACTTGCCGCTCCATCTTGCGCACGCCGGAAATAATATGAGACCGAAATTTCAGGATAATACGTTTCAATATCAATTTATGTAAATTATATTTACATCTTTCCGGTCTTGAAATTGTGCACAGTCGGAAGTTCTGAATCGGAAATAAGGTGCAGCGCGCTGAAAACTCCGTTTTCAGCGAATTGATCGTGCATAGAAATACATATACATATTTATCGTACACTGAAAAAAATTTCTGGTTGAATATCCTAAAGGAATTATCTGATTCGTCCATATTCAACCAGAAATTGTTTTCAGTGTAGGAGGACAAAAACTCGCGCGTGCGATGAGAAAAATTTCATTTAAAAAATTACGTTTGCATCTTTATCAAAATTAATTTAGAACATCTTCAATATTCAAACTGCCAAGAAATAATAAACGTAAAAGAGCAATTTTATTATATATTTATTATATATTATATATACATATTATATATTATATATGTATACATATACACGCCGTTCTATTCCTGTTACCGACAATTACATACATGCATTAGATACGCGATTCACAAATTTATTACCCTCGACGATAAGTTACATACGAGTGTAATCATTTAATATCACTTTCAATTGTCACAAAATATTCATTGTATATTATCCTGTATTCAGCAAATTATTCGATTGCAATGCGAGTAGATGTCGCGATATCAAATATCTCATACTTTTTATAAAATCGTTGGAACAACATCGGTATTAATGAATGAAAAACATGAGGTACTTGTCTTAATAATCTGGCTATTTAGTTCAATGCTTAAAATTAAAATCCGTAGCAAATACAATTGAGTGAATTATCTACGTTTGTAGCAGCTCGTGCGTTTAATTCGGGGAACTTAATTTTTTTAATTGAACAGCATTTCTTTCCGTGTATTAACATCATGGATTTATTGCCCTTGGAGTGAAACCTGTTTAGTGGACAATTGATTGTTAGATCGTGTAATCGTTGCGAAAGAAAAGATTTGCGAAATTGAATTTGGACGTTGAAAACCTACTGTCTCGTATTACAATCCTATCTCATAATAGAGAACTTCCCTCCACTGACTGATGAACCAACGAAATTAATACGGTTGCCGCTTCAAATTACTGCTAATGGTTGAATGAGGCTGGAGCCGGACGAATCAGGGGAAAAACGGGCTCGTTTATAATATGTCTAATTCGTATTTATTTCATGTAGTGTAATAGTCGCTATATGCTTAAATACAGGTGGTCTATTGCAGAAACGAATATACCAAAACTTAATAATGTACACGCTAATTTAAGTGATTCGTTAAATAGATATTCATCGATTACATCGTCCAACAAGAAGGGGCGGTAGCGTTAATATATTAATTTTATCAGAGATGTAAATACTCGACGAGTCGAGGAAAGTAGCCTTTCTAAGGGAGAGGGCGATTTCCTCGCGAACGCAGTACGGTTATGGTTTACCGCGGTTATGGGGGAAGGGAAAGTATAAAAAAAAAAGAAGAAACGATGGGGAACGAGAGGAAAGAAGGACGGGGGCGATCTCTATACAAAAGTAAGTGGCGTCGGGCAAGAAACACAAACGCTCAGACGGACAGGACGAAGAGTAATGCTATGGTACAAAGTTGACGAGATAATACTTTTTTTTCCTTCTCCTTAGCGAGATTAGATCGATTATAATCCGTTCTCACGCACCCTCTCACGCGGATTCACACCCTTTCAGTCACTCTTTCACGCTCTCCTCACCCTCTCCTTTCTCTCCCACTCACTCACTCACTCACTCACTCGCTCACAGTCTTCCGCACGCATTATACGACAATGGCTGCAATAATAATTGTTATTGTGATGTGAAACGTAACACATTAACGCTTTGCGAACGAGCGAGACCTTTGAGAAATCTAATTAATTAATTAATTACTTGTCATGTGTTGTGCGCAAAATTACGGGGAACTCGGGGGAATCTGCGCACGGCTTGGTGTGCAACAACTTCTGCCTCGGACGGTATCGAGCGCGAAAAACGATTTCCGAATTTCGTTTATGTGACATGCACACCGTTTCCCTCGGGCTCGAGTACCGTCCCCGCCTGCGTCGCTTCCGTGCGCGGCGATAATTCATCATCGCCTTCATCGAGAACGGTGAAAATTAAACAAAAAAAAAAAGAAAAACAAAGAGAATCCGATATCTTACATAATCTCAATACTCTCTTTACAATGCGAAATTCTTCATCTTTGGTAAACACTACTAAATAAATATCGTCGCTTAGAGTAAAGGGTCGTGCTAAACCAAAGGTGGTCGTGATTTGCTCGCGGCTCGTCAAGATAGAAAAAAAAAACACGATGACGGACGCGCGAAACGTCGCTTTGAAAGTCCGAGAGTCTTCCCCTCGCTCGGCGGACCCTCGCCTTTTGGTCGTGGAAGCTCGTTCCGTTCCTCGCTCGGTACTCGATGATCTGAGGTAGAGTCGCGCGAGATACTCGGCCGGATTCGTTCAGATTTTGAAAAGGAAACGCAGGCTTCGCGATCGAAAAACTCGCACGCATAAATGAAAGTCGTGTTTTACGGCCGCGAGGGACCGTGCACTCGGGGGAACAAACTAGAAAAATAGACACGCCTATTGTATATATATATTTATATATATATGTATAATGTATATATATATATACGAGGTCCTGCAGTACGATCCGGTGCTCGAGGATGCTGGGCTCCTATGTCGTGACGTGGCGCGAACGTCGATATTATACTCTTCAGGTATCGTACTATCTCTAAACTGTTACGGTGCGTGCTGGCTGTGCGTAGATACGATAGTAGAAACAAGGGAAACGTACACGCGATTCGTCGATCGGGGCTGCTTCGCGCGCCGTCCGAGTGTCCGCTGCCCGGACGAGGCGATCCTCGATCAATCGGACGATCCGATTGGAATCCACCGTCGCGCAAGCTGATGCTAAACTACTCGATGCCGCCCAATCTTTAATCGCGCACAGCGGACCGAAGCTGATAAAATCTCGCAATCATCCCGGGTGTCTCCGGATAAGAAATTCAAATAAATAAAAGTGGGAAAAGCGACGCTTTTGACGAGTTTCCGCTCGTGTACTAAATATTCGATTCGAAACGAAGTTTAATTTCTGCTCATGCGCTCGATAATTACATGACCGAAACAATTCGCAATTGGAACAACGAGGGCGCAATCGGGTCGCCACTCGCTGCTGCCGATCCGCAATTTGGATAAAATCGAATTTACAATCTCGTTGCCACTTTCGTTTCGTTCAGTGCCGAACGAAGCAAAGTCGCCGACGGGAGACTCGCGGTCGCGTGTACTCGCCTAACCGGTCATCGCGCTGACGCGAGTCGATCGCCGTTGAAAGCCACCCGGGCAGTATCTCTCCACGGGCCTCGGACGAGTCGCGGGATTTCCTTTTCATTCATGCGTACAAATAAACCCTAGCCTAACGCTATGTCACATTATATAAACTCGACGAAAGTTGCCTACTTTACTCGGTCCGCCTATTCACTAAATAGCCTCTATTTCTCGCACGCCATTCTCTACCCCACTGTCGCGATCTAGTGTTTTCCCGGCACGGATGCTGCGCACCCTCGAGTCTCGCGAGTCCTGGTCGGCACCGGGTCCGTCTACTCGCGCCGCGCGTTTAAGAAGTTCTCGGTCGCGCGAGCTCGGGGGATCGGGAGGTAACGAGGCGTCGTTTAAACGACTCGTCCAAGTTGACACGAACGAATCGCGCGACCAAGGAAGACCTCGCGCTTCTTCAGAGTCCTCCCCCCTGTCTCCCCCCCGATCAACAACGTTAATCCGCACATCGACCGATGATTAGTCCCTTTCGATGTTCGCATCTCTCCCGCAGCAAATCGGCTGTCTCGTGGAGGTGCTACAGGGTCATCGATCAGAAAAGGTGAACGCTGTCGTTGACACCGATCGCCGGCTATTGCGGCACGAGGTTCTCTTCAAAGAACACGCTTCCTGCGTCCGAAGGTGTCTCCTCTCGTTCTCCCGGCGTCGTGCCCTCGCGCCCTTAACACGACGAGCTCTTCAGCTCGCCGATGTCAGCGATGTTCTGCAGCAGCGGCGCGGCCTCGCTGTTGGCCTGGGACTTGGCGTTGTAACGCTGCTTGCTCAGCGCCGAGAGCAGGCTCGCGTTCGTCGACATCAGACGCGAATTCGCGGCGCCCAGGGCGGCTATTTGCTGCTCCTGCGCGTCGATCACGCGCTGCTTGTACGACAACGCCGCCGACATCTTCTGCTGTTCGCGACGTAGCTCCTCCTCCACGGAGATTAACCTGCGGGCAAAAGGGGTGACGTTCAATTGGGGCTGAAGGCGCGATCGCGCGAGGAAGAGAGAAAAAGCATGTTCGACATAGAGAAACTACTGCGCGTCTCATCTCGGAAACGTTCCTTCGAACGACCTTTATTCTTCGAGAGCCTACTCAGGAAATGCCGAAGCGATTATTTCAAACGGTCGTTACGCGCGAAGAATAAAGAGGCGTCGAGGAATCGAGCCTCGCCTGTTAACGTCTCGAGTCTCTGCTGTTCAATTCGCGTCAGTTTTATTTTCGGGATCTTTCATTTCGTCTTTTTCTTTCGCTTGAAACCGAGAGACGTTACGGCGAAGCCTGAAAAAGAGCCAAGCGCATCACGATGCACAATTATCGAAACAACATCGATAGATAAAAATCAAGCTGTAAGAAGCAAGAGTGTTTGGTGCATAGTTCAATATACTCTTCGGAAGGGGATAAACTGGAGTAATGTAAGGTCTTTTCTTCCAGAAACTATACGTTTGCTCTGTATCACAATTACAGCATGTACACGGAGAGAATTTTCTCTTCAAATTTACCCTGAAAATCGTGTGATCGTGGGACCCACATGGCATTTTGAAGAACTTTATGAGTTTTTTGAAATTTCACTAGCAAAATGTATGGTAAAATTTAAAAAAACTCTCATAACGGTCTTCAAAATGTCACGTTGTTCCACGATTACACGATTTTCAGGTAAAATTTTAAGAGCAAATTCTCTCCGAAAAAGAGAGAAAAAAGAAATGTCCACACATTGGTGAGTTTCGTACAACCGCGAGGAAACATCCGCAGACAAGGCCGGACATTTCTTTCTTTGCGACACGCGCAGATGAGAGTCACTGAATATCCGTGCACGTGGCCAGAATGAACATGTTGGAACTATGTGATGTCGTGAGGTGTGTGTCGTGTTCGATGAGCGCCAATTCGGTGACAGATTGATAAGAATGACGCTGGGGTGATTCGGATAACGTCGAGATACGATGAACAGCGTATTTTTCGTTCCGACTTTAATTCCGAGTGACGAATTTTGTTTCAAGAGAAATCAAGACAGAACACACGATAAGAGAAGCTAACATGTGGATGTAAAAATGTAAGAAAAGCTTAGAAATATAATTGACTCTTACACCAAAGGTCCAGATCAAGCCAGAGTATACCAAATGCAGCGGATAGAATGCACAGGAACACACAATCAGTTAAACATACATCGTTTCGATAAAGTAGCCCGTTCATACACGGGTGAGTGTTTCCCCATTAGTTCCGTTAGACATAGAAAAAGTGGTACACGCGATTAGACGACGTTCATCTTCAGGCACGAGATGGACAATAATCTCTAAGTCTAGTGTCGAAAATCGCGAGATGGACAACAATCTCTAAGTCTAGTGTCCAAAATCGTCGCTTATTGTCAATAAAATTGAAATGCGATCCCGTTGGTAATTAATCGACGAATTTATACGTATTTTAATATCCACGAAACTGTATTTCCCATCAACGAGATTTGCCAATTTCGAACGAGTCATTCTACGTGACTGTAGCATTTCTTTATGGAGACTTGAAATGAATTTCACGACAAGTCGAGAAATGAGGACATGGAAGATCGAGTGGCTGAATATGGCGAGACGTCGAAGTGAAATACGGCGTAGACGGTGATAATGATCACGGTGGTATCAGGGTTCACACTCAGGCAAAGATTCGGTAATCGTTTTAGCGGCGCTAGCGCGGAAATGGGGATCAAGTACCTGGAAATGATGCTCTTCATGTTGTTGTCGGACGCGAGGTCTAAATCGGCATCCTCGGCGCCTAATCGCGCGCGCAATCGCAGCCGATCTACGCTATTCTGTAGCCTTTCCACCTCATACAGATCCACCTCGTACTGGAAACGAAGAAACGTGGCGTGTTAGTTACGGGACAGATAGAGAAGGAACGTTAGACGACGTTACGGAAAATTACCATCATTGTATACATAGTCGGTAAATCCATAGCAAAGTAAAGAATTTGTTATTCACAACTCGGTTTATACAGTCTTCGAAGAATCGTAGAGATTTTTCCATAGTCAAGAAACGATCGTTGATTCAATTTATGTCGCCTCACCGATTGCCCATAGCCGAGTAAAACGAGCTGCAAGTATCTCTCGTTGGCTCACCTGATCGATGCTTCGATGACTGCGAGACTTGCTTCTCCTGGTGGTGCAGTTCTCTTCCTCACTGGTGTCCGACAGGTCCCTCGTGGAATCGAGGGAGAGTCTCCTTCGCAGCTTCGTGCAGCAAACATCCTGCGCGTGCTCCGCGTTGTTCCTGTGATTCTGATTGCCCTGTCGCCACTGATTCTGAGCATTTCTCTGGTGATTTCGCGCGTTGTTCTTGGGCGGTGGCGAGGGGCTCAGATCGACGCCTCTCACACTATCGACGCCGCCGCCGCCGCTGCCGTCTCTCTCTTCGGAGCTGCTGCTGCCTCGTCTGCCTGTCCTCGCGTGATTCGACTCCATGTGGTAAACAGGATTGGCGAATGCCAGTGGCGCCGTACTGAGAATGTGCGCGTTCGCATTGTTGCTGCTGAGATCCACCGGGCTGGAGCTCTGACTGTAAGCGGCGAAGCTCTGATAGCCCGAAGAAGCCACGTTGCTCAATTGCGAGATGGAGATCTGCGAACCCTTCTGCGACTTGGATTCCGACACTTCGTCGTCCGCGTATCTCAGCAAATCGGACAGCTCGTCAAGATTGCCGTTCGCGGACGCGTTGTTTGCCTTGGAGGTGTTGTAATTATTATTGGGCTGATGATTGATCGACAGCGTGAGATTCGTAGGCGGATTGACGACCACATTGGCGTTCACCGTGGTCTTCGAGACATTGTTGTAATTGCGATGCTGGGTCTGATTAGCGTTCTCCTCCTTGTTACAATGGTTTCGGCTGGCCGATCTCGAGACGTTATAGTTGTTGTGATTGAAGTTGTCCTCGCGGTCGTGGATGTCGAGACTCTGCGCGAGGCGCGCGATGTTGTGCCGATGCTGTTGCTGCTGTTGCTGCTGCGAGACAATGCTGCCGTTACTCGACTGGATGCTTTGTGGTGACGCGGTGATGTTGTAATTGGAGTCCTTCAGGTTGTTGTGACTCTCGGAACGCGTGGGGCTTGTCGGATGGGTCTGGCAGTGATTGACGTTCGCCAGGCTCGCGCTGGCTGTCAGTCTGTAACCCGGTCCGGATCGGTTGGGCCCGAGCGGCCTGTGTTGCCGCGTGATCGGTGTCGGCGAGCGCGACACGAACGCTGGCGGCTCCAGAGGATAATCATCGGAGCTGATTTGCAACTGCAGCTTGCCGTTCGCTGGCATGTAAGCATTTCGCGGTAGAGTCGCCGCTCTGGCAACGTTCGGGCTGCGCGAACTGTTGTGGCCTAAAGTGTTGCTCTGCAGCACCTCGTTGCTGTCTCTGATCGTGCCGTTTATCGTGCTATGATTGCTCAGCGTCGACGTGGCCGAGATGGAGAGATTCGTGTTGCTGTTGGCGATCGTCGGGTCGTTATAGCGGAAAATATTGTTCTGCAGATTCGGGTAACGATGCGCAGCGGGCGCGGGACTTGGGCCCGGTTGATCCAAAGCCACGGAGATCCTATCGAGGATCTCGGGTAATCGCGACGGTGACATCGATGGCGAGGATGGCGCGATCGCCGTCACACTTTCTCGCAAAAGAGCGTGCAGCAGAGACAATTGCTTGCCCAAATCTATGTAGCCATCAAACTCGAGCGAGTTATTAGTTGGTGCGTCCTTTGGTAGTGGACTCTGTTGAGCAGAAAGATTATTCATTACTCATCTTTTACCTTGAACAATTATATACTTTAGTTATAAATATAATCGTATACAGTTAGATAGTTTTATTCGTACAGAAAAGTAATTTTATGTCTTTTCCATTAGACTATTCAATTAAAACGATACAGAATTATGGAGATTAAAAGATGAAACAAAATATCATGAAATACTTACGCTAATTAGCTGCAAGAAGTTCTTCATAGACGGAGCCTCGCGCTCGAGTAGATCGTTCATGAATTCCATGAAATTTTCCTTGCCCTGGAATCTCGTGAAGTTTGCAAGCGTTTGGAGCGTCTTCGCGACCAGAGTGAGATTTCTCGCCGCCTTCTCATTCGGATATTCTAAAGTAGAAATTATTTTCTGTTTATCGTATTGCGGGTGGGATATAATGGAGGATATTACAAATATATATGAACATTATACGCGTTAATAATCAAGAAGGCGTATCAATGAAAGAAATCAATTGATTACGCTTTGCCTTACCGTGCGTAATGTTGAATAGAGACGGACTGAGAATGGCGGGACAGAGGAATCTAAGAAAGATCGATGCGGAGATGAGATTGTCTGCGATGTCCTCGCGGCCCAGATCGGCCAGACGCTCGCGGAAAATGCGGAAGCATTCGCGTAATTCTAGCGGAAAATGCGCATGGCTCGATAGTATTCTGCTCCAAGCCAGCTCCACGGCGTTGCGAAGGTTCTGCTGTTGTTTGTGCAAGGCGGCGACGGAAGCGACCTTGAGTGGATCCACTTCGCAATCGCCGCCTTCGACTGCGCCTCTCACGACGGCTCCCAGAGTCTCCTGTAGATATCTGTCACCGGTTAACTTCAAGTAGGCTTCCATCGCCTTCGTGGCTAACGAATTCCCTCGAAAAGTGAGTCTTTCGTCATCTGAAATATTTAACAGAAATGTTGACAAAACTAAAAATCGAAAACAGAAAAGAAATAAAGTAAGAATTGCGAATTCTCGCAAGCGTGCTTGGGACAAAAGACATAATCGTGCTTGAAAAAAAGGCGTTAATTGAGATATTAAGAATTTTCGATGCGCCAGAATTAGTTGTGCGAATGAAGACTGACCTATTCGATGAATGTCCATCATGACGAGGTCGGCGAGGAATTGCGGCGCCTTTTTCTCCCGTTGCATCACCGCTACCAGGGCAGTCGCGATGTCTTCCTTCGCCTTGACGCCGATGACGGGTTCCAATTTTTCGCATAGCGACGCGTAATCGGTTTTCAGATATTCCAGAAACTCTTGATACACCTGAACCGGCAATATGTCAACCGACTGGAAACGGCACTTTACTCTTAGCGCAGGAGGCTCCTTGAGAGGTCCCTTGTCACCTACCACGGGATACCACTTCTCCGTCAAATAACGCGATGTCACATTGTGTACTGGTATACTGACGGATCCTAGAAAGGACAATACATTTGCATCACGTAACATTGATTACGATAACTCGCGTATAATTTGGTGCCCGCGTGTTTTTAAGTGCACATTTTGAATTTACCTCTACATACAGTTTGACATTCTCCCGCATATAGATATGAAGTATACATAATGTAAGAAAAAAATTGGATCATGAACGCAATCTAAAAATATTAAGACCGTTCGTAATCGAATGCTTACCGATTAAAACATTTTTGTCCCTCTTCTTTTTCCTGTCCGCTTCCCTGTACAAGTTCACCTGGATGGTGTTGACAGAGGGCAAGTGGTGGAAGTCGAAATGCTCGCCCCAGAAGCACAAGTCGGCCTTCAGCTTGGCAGTCGTTCGCGCGTACAAGGTGCTGTCGAGGCAGACCTCGCAAAAATACCGCTTCTTCGCGGGCACGCCCTTCGCCTCCAGCAACCAGATCTGCAGGGAATTGTCCGTTCGGCGTGTCTGTTCCGCATCCGGCTGAACGGATTTCCTTAAGCTGCGCATACAATAGAAATAAAAAGCCCGTTCGCCTACGAATCACGTAGACAATTGGATCAAATAAGGATCGAGTCGAATTTAGATTTATCTCAGGATCCCAGGAAACTCCAAAATCAAACACGGTAGTGTCTCGCGCCAAGTATAAGCGACAAAGTTAAAGTGACAAGCTAGAACCGCGTTGTAGTTGTCACTGAGTATAGAGGAAAGTTCTCTATTACGAGACAGCAGGTTTTCAACATCCAAATTCAATCACGATTACACAATCTAACAATGAATTTTCAACTAAAGAGATTTCGCTCCAAAGGCAATAAATCCGTGGTGGAATCAACCGATGATGCCTGTTAATTTAACAGAAATCCCGCTATCTCATATTTCAGATCCTATCTCCTACTAGGAGACTGTACTCTTTTTATGACAATGTTCTAATTTGCATATGTATATACTCTCGATTCGTTCGCGCTACTATCGAGATGAATGCTCCAACTTTGCATAATTCAAGTCAAGTGTCGTCTATCAGGGACTTTATGTACCGAGAAGCTGAGCGGTGAATCTAGAGCGTCGCGTACGGTACTCGGTTCCGAGACGATCAGGTATACGTCATCCTCGCATGATGAAAACGAAACAGCGATTTAATTTGACGGGGCGATAAGTAAAAAGCGACGCGCGGCCCGGCCCAACTGACCTGTGCAACCACTGGTCCCGTTCGTGAGCGGTTCTGCAGCTGAAATACTTGGGCCCGCCGGTGCTCGGCGTGACCTGGAAGCAGTGAGGCCTGCCGAGGAGACTCGGATGCAGCGGCGTCACCGCCGCGAGGTCCATCGAGGTCACCGCCTGACCGCACAGCAGAGACTCGTGCGAGCGGCATCCCCGGAGACCGGCGCCCCGTTGCTTCTGTCGTTCAAGCTTCGTTACGCTCTTCGTCCTCTTCAGAGGGTTCGACCGGAACGACCGCTTCGAGAAGAAGTTCTGCAATTCAGAAAAGACGATTTCTTTATGAATCGTGCGCGGGATTTGGTACACCAGCCACAATTCGCAAGCGCATATATCTCGCTCGAAAACCGTATTACCTGTACCTACACTGAGAAAAATTGTTGATGTTACCAAATGCGTTTTTAGCAGTGTTTCTTTAAATATATATATATTTTTAAGTTCAATATATATATTTTTTTAATTAACAAGTATTTTTGTGAATTAAAAAATATTTATTTGACAGCCATTGACATTGCAGTATTTAATTAAAATAAAAAATATATTTCATATAAAAATATATTTTATATGAAATAATCAAAATATGTTAACCAAACACTGCTGGTGAAATTTGTTATTTTTTTATATCAACTTGTACAAGTTACAATGCACACAGCAAAAATAAGATAAATAAATGAATATAGCATAATATGCATTAATATGCATAGATTTTGATATACATATATACAGTCTTTACTAATTTTATATAAAATACGGAAGCGCAAGTTTCACATTACTCTGCCTGAGAAGAATTTCTTGTATAATGTCTTGAGCTTTTCTTTGTATAATACATAAATTCATATACACCTACACTATTAATCTCACTATTTTCTTGTCTCTCATTTTGCAGGTTGTTTATCACCAGAGAGAACGCATTATTCTACTTCCGGACTTGTGAGTCTGCTATATTTCTTTCGGACCGTCGAAAGAGAACGGATTTGGCTGGTTGCCACTTGGAAAAACTTGATACACTTTCGGACATACAGCAGAAGGAAACTTCGTAGCTTGTTCGACAAACGCCGCAGTAAGAAACATATTCTAATGTCCAACAGTATCGATTAGGTAAGCTACATCTTTTTTCTTTCCCACTTATATTTTGTAGGCGATAAAAAATATACCAACTATATTTTTAAAAATTTCCGAGCTTTAAACGCGACCACGTACTAAAGCCAACGGCACGAGATACTATTTTTCCTACTGGATTGCTTACGAGAGCCAATCAGGATTTAGCCTTAGGTCATCTGATCTAAAACTCCGCATCCTTATTGGCTCTCGCAAGCAGTCTAGTAGGAAAAATAGTGAGCCGGTGGCTTAAGTGGCACGATGAGGACTTTCTTCTGTCACATATAACGTGTATCATTGTTTACTTGATAATAAAAGTATATGTGCCAAGAGGTTTTATACGCAATCGGTAATTAAAAAATATCAAGTATTTTTCGCAAATATCAAGCTTTTCCAAAAATATCGAGCCTTTTCGACGGGATGTACAGTCTTATTCATCAATGCCGGGACCTGCATTTTTATCATCATTTTTCTCATCTATACAAATCAGTGAGTTTCAGGCTGTATGCATGTACTACCACAGACTTCTATAGAAGCTGTGTGAACTACAGCCTGAAACTCATCGATGTATAGATGGGAATAAAGGTTATGAAAATGTGAGTCCTAGTGAAACTGAGGTCCAGACACTAATGATAATTAAGACACTGTACACTGAAAAAAATTTCTGGTTGAATATGGACGAATCAGATAATTCCTTTAGGATTTACCAGAATTCCTTTAGGATTTACCAGAATTTCTGTAGGATTGCAGGAATTCTGGTAAATCCTAAAGGAATTCTGGTAAATCCTAAAGGAATTATCTGATTCGTCCATATTCAACCAGAAATTTTTTTCAGTGTACGTTTGAGAAAGTTCAAAAAATTTGCTGTTAAACAAGTAGGCGCGATCTTAGGGAGAGCCTTACGGAATTGTTTTTAAAATTGGGAGAAACCGCGCAAGCGGTATTTTCAAGAATGAAAGAAACATTTTGAAGAGAAGTTATAATGTACGAGCGATTGATTTATAAACAAGAGAAACAAGAAATAAAGAGAGATAAAACAATTCTTTGCTAGTAAAGAATTGAGTACTCTCTTAATGTGGACTTCGCAAATGGACTTTGGTTTCCCGCGACAGCCGTCCGCGATATTTACCCTCGCACTAAAATAGTTGACGATCATGCTGACAACTTTGTCGTCTTCGTTCTCCTCCATTGGCTTGACGCACATTTTTGTTCTCACCATTCGCGCGGTTCCAAATAAAATCGGCCGTGCGCGAGAGAGGGATAAACGTTTAATCAGCACTTTTCTTGGGTTTTATGATACTTTTACATCGCGAAACGAGGCGGCGCGCGTTCACCAGTCTATGTACAATATTTCAGGCTGTTAAAGTAAAGTTTCATCCCTCGCGAAACATCTCTCACAAAATCTGTCGTTCGATAATTCTAGTGTTTGAAGGTTGTTTGTTAAATTAAATAGTGTTATATAGCATTTTTATCATCTATTAGTTTATATCGCAGTGTTACCATAACAGTGAGAAACGTTCTTTCCTCAATTTATATTTATTGTCTAATATTATCTTATTTTCGCAATACAGAACGGAAGTCCAGGAGTTTACTTCTGGACGACTCTGTAAACTTACTTTCCACTTGTCTTCCATGGGCACTTGTTTTCCCAAATTTCCACGTTTCTAGACGCAACGATCTCAGAAAATCTTTGCGCAATGCAGCGTGCAATGAAATCGCAATAATTAAGATTCGCCGACAGCAGCGCGTTGCTGCTGCTTCGCGCGAAACGTGTTTACTCTATGCGGCGCCCGTTACCAGGTCGAAAACGATCTAGCCGTCACGGAGCGTATTATCGTCGCGGTAAATCGCCGCATTATCGTGCACGCACACATGCACGCGAGAGATAAAGCTTGGCCCAGTGTCAGGATGCAACTTAATCGCCCGCGTTTCGGTCGGGAAGTCCTTGGAATGGAAATCCTTACAGACACCCCCTTCGAGATTTTACCCCTCACAAAATCTCCACTCGGCTCTCAATTAAAATACACCTCTCGTCGCCGGTGCGCGCTGCACAAAAGTTTCATTACGACACATTCTTCGATTTAACATTCTTCACTGGAGTTGTTCACTGGACTCTTCGAGAATCTACCGCGGGCGACCGGTACGGTGGCTCATCTACCCGTAAAATTTTTTCGAAAACGACTACGCGTCCGGGTTCTTTCTCGTCGAAATACTCCACATTCTCTGTATCTTCGGCGCGGCGACTCGTCGCTGGCCGTATCCGCGGATGTTACTCTCGCGTGCGCACGAGGCGGGGATCGCGAGAAAGAATTTTAATATCGTACGACACGAGTTTCACGTTTCGCACGTGACACTGTATTTCGGGACATTCCCCGTGCAGCAGTTAACCGATGAATGAAAAAACGATGCGGACCCAAAATTCCTCGGACCCGTGCTCAGGTAGTTTTACAACTTCGAAAGCGACATCTCGAACGCGCCCGAGGGACTACATGTGTCCTTGGGTCCTGTCGAGTGGCCTTGCGGAACGAGGCGGCCAAAACCGATCCCAGTCGGCGATTTAAATCGGAAGGCCCTTTAAACGGCTATGAGCGACCTTACTTTTCTCCGCGCGCGACGATCGTCTGAATACTTCCGCGACTCATCGTGCCACGATCGGGCGCTTTTTGTCCATGCTGCATCATATTGGATTTCATGACTTAGCTGACGAGCAGCGTCATGCATCGGCGAGGATAATGACCGATCGATGCATTACGTGAACGCATTTTGTCTCTTTCGCCACGGCGTCCTAACAAAGTCATGGAATGTGCTTGGGTCGGCTATAAACAGATCTTCGTTTCACGTGCGCGCGCGCGCGCAGGTATACCCTTTTCTTTTGAAATCAATAGGTCTGCTCTGTACAAGATCTTCGCTCTATAAGCTCTTTATCTCTTTCTTCGTTTCGCTCTTCGAACTTTCTCTCTTGCTCTACGGTGCTATTTATAGCTTATGGAGATGCAGCATTGCAGAGTATTCTTACAGGATAGGCCCACAGGAGAGACAAGATGTGTCAGTTAATTTTTAACATCGTTTTATATCGATTAAAATATATCTTTTATGAAAAACATTTTAATTCCACATCCTTTCCGTTCTTTATAGAAGCTTTTTTCGATGACATTTAAAACGATAATTATTTATATCATGTTTTTAATTCACGAAATTATATATTTTTAAACGAGTTTGGACCACAGTTGTAATTGCTTTTAAACATTTAGTTTTAAAACGGGTTTAGTTTAAAATTTAAGTAAACACTACAATTGTTAATTTTTTAAATCAATTTAACAATCGTTTTTCAGATTCTTAAATAAGCAGATTATTTTGTTTTTTATAAATTTACAGTTGTAAAGATTCGAGAGCTCAAGAAACATGAGACGTTTCGTAGAAAGCCTAGCGAGAAGTGACACAAATCGTTCTCTCAAATCTCGATTTAGGTTTTCATCAGAATACCACGGTTTTATGTGCTCAATTGAAAGGCGCCAGGAATTGAATCTTGATGGGAATGATTATTTTACAATAAATTACCATCCTCCTCTCTCGCCTCTTTTCGTTCCTCGGCATCTAACTACATTGCAGCGTCTGCTTTCTCTTTCGAGTAACACTGCTATGTTACGTCCTTTTTTGCGTTACCTTCATGCGTTATGCGTAGTGTTTTTTATTTGCCCCGATCTTTGTTTTATACTTAATTCTAGCACGTAAGCTTTGTAACAACAACTTTCTGTCGGTGCCTCACCTTTTGCTTTCGATTTTCAATATTACCTCTCTTTCACTGCATCTCACTTTCGCAGCAATAAATTAAATTAAATTAAATTATTACAAAAATATTTATCGAAAACGCGGCAACTCCGGTCAAATTTCTTTCAAGTTTACACGAAGAAGTATTATTTATGCGAAGCATCACTAATAATTTTGTCGAGAAAACTGTTTAAATTCACTGTTTTTATTTGCAATTAATATTTTTTTATATAACTCGGCACAAAATCAGGGTTGAACAAATTTCTGGACAGACTGTAATTTCATCTTCCTACAATCTTTTTCGTTCGACACTAATTACACAGTTAGTTACATACATCGGATTTTCAACGAACCCAAATAATTCTTTTTGAAATGCCACGAAGTAAATCTAATCACGTCGTGCGTAATTATAGATTTGTCAGTTCGCAGGCCGATGTAACGTTTTAGAGTAGATTAACTTGTTAATATTTTTGAAACACAACGACGATTATAAGACTTTTATCCGCCACCATTTGACAAGATGTCCCCCGAATGCGACAAACTTCGTTCCGCGAGATTTCGCCGCGAAATCTCGTCGCCGACTGACGCAGATGTTGGCTCATCCGGGTAGCCGAAGTCAAGGGATCCTTGGGGCGCGCACCTTTGTGCCGCGACCGAAAACTCTGCCCCTGCATTCAGGTAAGGCAAAACGGGCTAAACCCCTCGGTTCCCCTCATAGTCCCTCTTCTACGGGCGCGCTCCTCCGTCCCCGACACCGGTAAGGACAAAAACGTCTTCGGGGGGTTCTCAAATCGGAGATTGTGACACACGGCAGCGTCCGCTGATTGCATCTGCGATCGGTCCCGCTCTCTTGCGTAGAACGTGCCCCACGTACGCAATGAGCCCGTCGATCGAAACGCCTCAAATGTTTCCTTTGTTGCACTTGCACGCGCGTAAATTTATTCATTTCCGTTATGTTCCGCGAGTGTTCAAGTATGACGGACGCGAAGCTGTAAAGACTATTTAAAATTAATGTAAACTGTAGATCCGCAATCTTCATTTATAGTTTATTCAAGACTTTATATTGTCCAAGCTTGTAATTTTCTTCAATTAATTCTCCAATTGCGTCGTTTATTCTTTTAACTTTTTCAAGGCTGTTGAGGAAAGACTACGCGGAGAGAATTTTCTTCTAAAATTTACCCTGAAAATCGTATAATCGTGGGACAACGTGGCATTTTGAAGAATTTTATGAG